TTAAAACAAATACATTTGAGCTCATTTAAAATCGTATAATATGGTAATTTATAGTGAATATTCAAAAGATAGATTTGTAATTAGAACTTAAAATAATGTAAATATATTGTAGTGCATGTAAATGTTGTTATTATGCTTATAAACAGTTAAATATTTACTCACTGAAATGTTTATATTTATTAGTTGTATTTGAAAAACATACTTTATTTATTATACTCGTAAAAAAATATAATTTAAAATTTTAATACATATTTTATTGATTAATTAAAAGGCATTTTAAATATAGATATATACAATTTTAAGTATTGGTTTTAAGTCAACTCTTTGTAATTTTCACGTTTGAAATTAACTTTAAATCAATATTTTCATTATTTTTGTAAATAGATTATGTTATTTAATTTGATTACAATCAATACAATTTGAATAAAATACAGTAAAAACTATTTATAATGACACCGAATCTAATGTAAATCGGGTGTAGGTACCTTGGATTGAAGATCCTGTAAAAATTTCTTTGTTGAATGTACTAATTTTGTATTGATTATTATATCTATATATTAACTAGGTATACGAATGTTATAACGGTTATTTTTGATTAAATTGAAAAAAATATATAGGAATATAACTTACAAGTATAATTTTTGTACAAACATAATGCAAAACAATGCATTATAAAAAATTATTTTAATACAATGTAAATTTAATTTTAAAATAATAATGCAACTTTTATTTTTTCCTGTATGTATTGAAGTCACTATTTAGTGATAAAGATATAACTCATTAATTATAACACAATATTATATTCATATAAATATATAATTGCATTTTTAAATTTTATTTTTTCATTTTGGTTATAATGACTTCGGTTATCGTGTCTAATTTTGATTAGTCCCATTAATGTCATTATAAATGATTTCTACTGTAAACAGAACTTAATAAAAATTAAATAAACTATTATTATTGTTACCTTTAACCACTATATCATATGCTATAATATTTGTTTAAATTTAATGATACCATATATAGTTCATTAAGGTAATAATAAGATACCTATTTTTTTTTCATTAATACCAATGTCATTAAGTGTAACACTTTTTTTATTCAAAATATATAATTTAACTTAAGCATAAACATTTTTGAGATGTATAGAAGAGCCTCGTGCGAAAGAATAATTGTTATTCATTTTAATAATAATTTCCGATTTTTATTTTAGGTCTCCAATTTGGTACTGTCATAACTTTAGTTGGTTCTGGAATACTGGCTAGTACTCGATCGGGATGGCCATTGATTTATTACTTTAGTGGTGCATTTGGGATTTTATGGGTAATATTATGGCTATTACTTGGGTCAGAAAGCCCAGATACACATCGGCTAATTACGAAATCTGAAAGAAACTACATAAAATCATCACTAATCCAAACGGTTTCTGAAAAAAAGGTAAATAAGCCGTTATTAGATTATATCGGCCTGGTGAAGCACAGTGGTTGGTCTCAATCACTAACGTGTTTTGAGGTGTCAAGTCAAGCATTAGTTGATGTCGCTAGCTCCCGGATGGTTAACCTACCTAACCCGGGTTTTAGTAATAAATACTCGCTAAATCTACACGTGTTTCAAAACCGTGCCCTTCCTACAGTAAAAATTAAAAACCAACCATAGGTCTAATACTTGAAACAAGTAACATTCCTACTGAAACCTAAAAAATAAAATTTATTACATCAAAAACAATTTTTTTTGAAATGAGAAGTGCTTTATTTGAGGCTAGTAATATATATATACTCCCAAATCCGTACCCAAAACAAATTTTAAAAGGGGGGGGGGTTATACTAATTTTAATGGTATTTAAAATAATAAACAATTTATAAACGTTTTAAAATAATTACATATCTATTTTAAGCACCTATACATGAGTTAATAAGGTTTGTTAATAATTATTCAAATACGCATAATACATAATATAAAATAAAATTCAATTTTACAGTACTAATTTAAATTTTTCTTTTTTTCTTTAGAAAAACGATTGATTATTATCGATATGCATATTTTTATATACTAAGTAATGCTAAACCGGTTAGGTTAGGAGTTAGACATCCCCCTTAGATACAGCCCTGTAATCCCCTGACTATTATTTAACAGTTTTTTAAATATGTGTATTTATCATTAACTGTTTATTTTTTTTACCTACCTTAGAACTTAATAACTCCCTGGAAAGAAATATTTACTTCAATGCCAGTATGGGCTGTTACTATATCACACGCTGGTCACAATTGTGGATTTTGGTTGTTGCTTAGTGAAATGCCCACGTTTATAAGTTCCGTACTAAAGTTCGATATTAAATCGGTAAGAATTAGTTTGTATAATTGTAATATATTGTGTATATAAAAAGCCTTGCTTATTTGCAAAAATCGTATGTTAAAAAAATGATTTTAGTTTAAACAAAGGCTGCTTAATATTCACTAGATATTAAAAATTCATACGATTTCAAAATTTTAGGAAATTAATTACTAAGTGAGTAAATGTTTTAATGTTGAAAAACAATGGAAATTTTAAGAAAAAAATAATGCACAAAAATAAACAAAGTAAGGCAGTGCATAATATATTATGCATATTGGATATTGAACAATAACATACACGCATATATATATATATATATATTAGTATATTAAATATACATCATATTATACCACTTAACACATTTAAATTGACTTATACATATTGACTAAAATAAAAAAAGGACGATACAAAATATATAATATTAGATACAATAATGAGTAAAAATTGTGGTAAACGTTTTCAGGATGGATTTGTGTCTGCATTACCTTACTTGGCCATGTGGCTGTGTCAATTTCCAGTTACATATTTTGCCGATTATATGAACAAAAAAAATGTGACTTCCCTCACTTTTTCACGTAAATTTTGGAATACCTTAGGTAATATTATAAATATTGCATTTTGTATACTTACAACACATAATATATGATGTTCTAACTGTATTATATTTAACTTCGCTATGTTATAATTAAAGACCAATGATAAATATTTGCTTATATTTTACAGAACTATATACTTACTTTATAAATAAAATAAACTATAAATGTTTTAATTTTAATTTTAATTCAAATTAGTGTAAAATAACTTGCAAAAATAGCTTTAATTTTTGATCATTTTATAAATATTAAAATTAATTTTGTTTTTATTTTTTAATTCGTTACTTATAAAAGGAAATTATACATTTTAACAAAACCTAATTAACAAAAATATTGTTTTTAATCGTCAAAATGTATATTTGAAACAAATCAAATAACAATAATTGTTCAAAATAAATTTATAAACATTTTAGGAATATAAATAAACATTTTTTAATGTTATTAATTTTTCGTTTAAAAACATTAAAATGATATAGGTAGATAGTTTTAATTTTAATAATGCTGTATGAAATTTCAGAAAAAAATAATTTTCGTCGGCATAATATTATTATTTTATTTCAAATTATATACATGTTTAATAAAATTATATTTATTTATTTATACTTACTTTTCTCAAGACTGTTTTTTATTTTCCATTATTATATTGTTACGTTTTGATCAAAATTTTCTGTTTAATTATTGTTATTAAAACCTATTTAGGTATACTGCTCTACAGGTACACGTAAAATAATAATAATCTTGATAATAAATAAAAAGTTATTCGGACATTTTTACACTGAGAACAATTTAAATAGAATCTAATGTATATAATTGTGAACAAAAAAGGGTAAAGTATTGCAATTATTTACCGTCGTATTATTTTTATTGTTCGGGTAACAGGGATGAGCGGCGGTGCGTTGGGTCTCATGGTCCTAGGCTACATGGGTGAGAACGCAAACGCAGCCATATGTATGTATGTGTTTGTGGTGGCTATTGGCTGCTGTACGAATGTCGGTTTCAACATTAACCATCTCGATTTGGCACCCAATTACGCTGGGATTTTGATGGGCTTCACAAACGCCGTAGCGGCCCTGGGCGGTGTGTTAGCTCCCACTGTCTGCGGATTCATTGTACACGATCAAGTAAGTATATCATTATAGCGCGTTAGGTTATTTTGTTTTTTGCTAGTAGGTGTATGGCAAAGTTATCGAATCGATATCACCTCCTACAAAAGGCAATTGGAACTTTGGGTTTTTCATTATCTATATTCGTTTATTTTAGACTTCGGTGGACGAATGGAGGGTCGTGTTCACGCTGGGAGCCGTCATACTTTTCTTCTCTAGTATTTTTTACATTATATTTGGATCTGCGGAGGTACAGCCGTGGAATGAACCTAAAAATGAAAATGGTAAATCGAAATCGTTTATTTACTTTAGTCGCATGGTACCTACATAATATTTAACCATATATGTTCTAGCAAACCGCATAGTATACTATTAATCAGAGATGGCGAACTCATAGACTATGACACGCTTAACTGTCCAAAAGAAAATCATTTGTAGAATATTTTTAAATTAATGTGAAAAAGTTCATTATATGCAGCGAAAATAAAATTAAACCAAAATGTTTTGTTTGACACGCGAGTACAGAAAGGTTTGCCATCCCTGTTAATATGTATTATCTAATGATTATACCTACTGAGTGGTATAATTCTATGCGTAATACACATTTTAAACAAATTTAAGGTAATATTTTTTTTTACAAAAATGTTCTATGTACTACAAAATCCCTTAAAATGTTGGTATATCAAGAGTATACATACTATAATTACTAAATAATAAATACGTATGTATCATTCTAATTCAATATTGTAAAACATAATGTTTTTTTGTCTACAAAAATATTTTTAATTTATCTTCATTATCCGGTACCTGATGATCGTCATTATATATATCTCTTAAATTATACGCAATTATTAAATTATAGAAATTTTAAATATGAAACTATAATAAACATTTGACTTAATAATATATTGTGATGTATAAATTTAAATAAATATTATATAATGTTATATTTTTATAGTCGGTGTTCGGAGTTTCATACAGCTGAAAACAGATTACGGTTCTTCTGCAAAACATATGTCTCCATCACCGTCGTTTGGTAAATTAACTTGAATTTAACGATTGACACTGAAAAATCAAAAGTCGTTTTATTTTTCTTCGCCCACAGTTAAAGTTACGTCAAAGTATACCATGTTTGTACGACAATAATCAACCATATTTTTATGGCAAATAACGTCGCGCTGCTAAACCTTTAAAAAAAAAAAACAATGATGGACATTATTTTTATACATTCTGCTGTTGTTATATTTTGGTTTATTAAAGATTTATGATTTGTTATATTTTTATTAAAAACTCTTTTCGTTTTTAAACTCTATAACTATGCTGCAACAAATCGTAGCTTATTATTGCCATTTATTTATTATGCGTGAAATATACTCGTACCTAATTATTTTTGTATAATTGAAAAAAAAATATTATATATTTTCAAATATCAATATTGTGTTATTATCATACTTTACTATTATTTAGATTTTAATGTGAAATAATTTTTTTTTTTATATTTAGTAATAATTTGCATATACGTACCAAGTTAAAAAAAATATGTATTAAAAACGTAAATATTGTAATAAATTATAAACCATTATAACCAACTATAGAACATTGGGTGAAATGGGAAAATTACTATCAATATTTACTTGATGAAATTTAGAGCATATTATAGATATACACTTCAGTAATTATAATATATTAAAAAGTTTATCACATTTTAGTCATTTTACCGTTTATACCATAATTTATAATGGTTATTACTTATTACCAATGTGTAATAAAAACATATTTTATATTATGTATAATAAAATTTATTATTTTTATTTTTACTTGTTAGTTATTAGTACTCTTATAGTCTTATTATAAATTATAAATAACTATTATATATTATTCATACTTAATTATTATTTTCGTTTTTGATCTGTGTTGGTGTTTTACTATCAAAATATGTGCTGAATGAATAATCAATTGTATTTATCTAATGGTTAATGATGAAAAAGAACCTTAAATCATTTATTTGATATATTTTAATACATTTTTCATAATTCTATTTTATTTAAGTACATATAATGATTTTTATAGCGTAACTAATACTAATAAGTAATAGGTACTATTACTTTAATATTATCGATTTTTTTTTAAGTAATTAAAAAACCCCCTTAATCTTTTGTTCTAATTCTGAAATTATATTTATTCTAATTTTACCGAAAGTTTATTTAAAATTGTAAATGTTTATATATTATTGAAATATTTGAATTATGAACGTTTTTTTTAGTTACATTTATATGTACAGGTAAGTACCTATTTTCTAACATTTAACATTAACATCCAGTTATACTTTTATGATTCATAACATTAAGTTTATTTTTATAGATTAGTTTAAATAAGATAAAAAAAAATAACAAATATAATTATAATAAATCAAGTATAAATGACAGTTTGATTTAACTAATAAATATAAACTTATGATATAAATATAAAGTATATTTTATATATATACGTATGTATTGTTTGAGCAATCAAAATACTCAATTAGTTAACAACAAAATGTGCAACACAATAAAATAAAGCAGCTATTGACAACAGACGTCTAAATAATTTTTGTCTAAGTTTCATAATAGATAGTACTTACAATGTTTTCATTCGTTTTTTTTTCAAAGTGTGAATAGGATTTTAAATATTGTACAAAAAATTAATTTAATACTTAGTTAAAGTAATAAAAATAAATATTATACAACAAAATATATTTACTTTTTAAAATTTTAAGTTAATTGTTTTTATATTTAGATATAAGTAATATACTTACATATTAATTCACAATCGGCCTAAAACTTAACCAAATTCCATTTTTCGGTGAAATTATCCCTCGTTCTTTTTTCATTTTTAGTGGTATTTCCGTTTTTTCACAGGGTGTAATTTCAAATTTCGACAATATTTTTGAAAGAATTATTTTCAATTCCAATTCAGCAAAACGTTTTCCTGTAAAAATACATTATAAATGATATTTAATATTGCATAACGTTTGATGATTAATAGTGTGTAAAGTTTTGTTTATACACTTATTTGAAACATCCAATATACCTATGCAATGGCGAAGTCCATCACCAAACGGTAAAAATGTTCCACTCGGTCGTTTAGATTTTTCTTCCGCAGTAAATCTTTCCGGATTGAAAATATGGGGATTTGGATAATACTTTGGGTCATGATGTATACTATGTATTGGTATTAAAATTTTTTGTCCTTTTTCAATTATTAATGACTCCCCAGGTACTTTATAATTTTGTGTAGCTCCTCTCAATAGAGCCGTAATTATGGTGTACTTACGATGAGTTTCTAAAATAATATAATAATACGTTTCTAATAAAAACAATTATTCAAATATGCGTTTTTCTACAGCGTTAAAAAACTACAAAAATATTTATTATTAATATATATACATGTTTGTTACCTACCATCTAAAACCATATCGGCGTAGTGAAGATCTTCCAAAAATTCATTGTTAAACTGTTTACCATATTTTATTTGTGACGAAATTATCTCGGCTCGTAATCTGTCTTGAATATTTTTGTTCAATGCTAACTCGTAAAAACAAAAAGATGCTGTAGCAGTTACAGTTTCAGAACCGGCCGAAAACAACAACATTGCATTTGCAATTATATCTAATTCACAATACTTTTCTTTAAATAAACATAAAATCTATAGTTAATAATCTGAAAACAACTATGAGTGTATAATAATATGTATTCAATATTGTAGGTCTTACCTTCTCCTTTATAATCACTGTTTATTACCAAATCCTGTCTTGCTTTCATTAAAGTTTGTGTTAGATCATTTCTAACCACATTATTTTTGGTCCTATACTCAATAACTTCGCCAAATACGGAATGAAAAAAATTAATGGCATCTATGTCTACCGGAGAAGTTTGAAGTTTTAAGAACTTAATGATTTTTGGAAATAGAACTTCAAGTATTTGAAGAAAAATAACTTTACCACTAGGTTTGAACAATTTTTTTACATTTTTTCTAAAGCTTGAATTATCGTTATAAATTGTATCCAATTTCATACCAAATGCACACGTTCCAATTACGTCAGTGGCTGAATTTCCGACAAGTTCATGTATTTCAATTCCCTCGGTTATCTTGGATTTTTCACGAATACAGTCTATCAACTGATCGCTGCACTCTTGGATCTGTTCATGTGTACCTTTGAGCTTACTAGACGTGAATCCTAGACTTAGTTTTTGTCTCATAATTTTCCATTTTTGTCCGGTCGCAAAAAACAAGCTTCTCGCCATTATATTTACCAAAGGGTTCACGTCAATACCGTGGTCAGTGAAATACGAGAAGTCTTTGACGAGCATCGTGTTGATCAGCTCTGGATCACGAATCATCAAAAACGGCGTACTCATTTGATAAAACCCGCAAAATTTATTATCGGGAAATTGTTTATAAATTCGTCCGAACGTATCCACTTGATGCTCTAAGCCCGTAAACATTTTGAATATATTCCCAAAAATAGGCACTGGTTTTGCATACGGTACATTTAATTTCCTCCATGTGTCGTACGTCGACGTCGTATAATAATAAATAAACGTACAAACAATAACCAAACTCAATATGGTGTTGTCACACAGCAAATTGGTCAAGTACAAAATCATGGTTATAAAATAATGTAACTTAATTGTAAATTATCGCAGGGAACACCTACGGAGTACGGGTATATAATGAATTAATAAATCTTGCTATGAATTTAAAACTGCGAAAACGTATATGTCTAGGTTTTTTTTTATTATTCTTAAATTAGTTTCCAAGATGATATAATCTATTTGTGGTGGGGTTACGAAACTTCTAAAATCATATCAACAATTATTATTGATTTATTACATAAATTAATAAATATTACAAATAGACTGTAGAGCTACACTATAGTTAGTGACGACTGATTTAAAATTTTGTATACATATATATTACTATCAACTGCCGTATAGATTAGAATGGTGCAGAAATAAGTGTTTTTAGATCATTAAAAAAAATAAAATTCAGACGCTAGGTTAGGTTAGGTTAGGTTAGGTTATGGCATAATGCTGATAAATTGAAGTTGACGAATTACCTCAGGGTGTTTTCGACACCTACGATACCGTTTAGAAAAAAAAAAGGGTTATGGCATAATGGATCTAAAAAAAGTTCGCATAGATAAATAATTTTTTGCATATAATACTCGTGTTTGTTCAGACTTTTATCTACCTAGTTAATGTTTAGTATAGAAAAACATGATATATAGGATTTATTTACAAGAAGTTATATTCATTAATCATTAGTATATACTATATAGTTATAAATTTATAAATCATAACAGAATATGGCTTCTTTTTGGTACCTATATTTTAGAGTCTAAATCATTGAAAATACTTATACTATTTTAAAGAACAGGAAAATTTAAAATAAACAACTTTTAATGTTAAAAAAATATAAAAATGGTTGCTACGGATTGAGTATTAAACAATCATTAATGAGTACGTAAAATAACAGACGTCTCACATTTTTTTCTGGTGTAAAACCACACACAATATAATAAATTTTTTTTAAAATACTTACGTAAATAGTTTTAAAAATTCTTCGATTTATTGTGTTTTTTTAAACCCATGAAATATACCGATTGGGAGTTCATTATTGAGTAATTCTTTGAAATTTAAAACAGAAACCAGTATAGGCCATAATTGACTCTTATTACTTTTAGCTATTGGTAGACCATTAATGTTAATTCCTATTTTTAGTATATTATCAATGTTATGTTTAATAAAATTGTTTTTTTCTAAAAGAGATACTAACATATCTTTTAACCCTAAAAGTATATAAGAACCATTTGATAAATTGGTGTTCTCTTTAGTTTTAGGAGTATTCATTATTGTTCTAATAACTTTAGGAACTTTCATTCCTTTACTTCGTAAAATAGTTAAAAGTGAGTTTGTACCATTATGAGAAATGTTATGGTTAAATATCCAATTACGTAATTTATCGTAGCAATAATGTTATTGCTATATAATTATAGCAATTATTATTTACTATATTGTTATTGTTATTGTTTTATTAGGTACTATTAAATTTGGCATTTTAGGAAAATTACATTCATGCTCAAGGTTAATATTATTATTCACCATACTTAACATAGTATTATCATTATTAAAATTAGAAACTACTTCATTTATAGATGGTGTTATTAGTTCAGTTGTATTAGCAGGATTTATAGATACTATTGATGGTGTCACTCTGTTCTGCGGTAATGTTTTTTAGACATAACACATTCTTCTTTGCTGATTTTACAATTCTTCTAAAATGACGAAAAGATATAAATCCCAATTTCTGACATTTAGTCTAAAAACATCACATCAAATGTATTTTGAAAATAAAATAAATACTTTTTAAGTCAATTTAAAATTAGGTGTCTTACAAAAACATTTTATATAGGTCATAAAAACATTTAACACATTCAGCTTAGTGAAAAAAAATTTAATTTTTGTACCTCTTTAACACATTTTAATAATTAAGTATATTCATTACAGTCATGAGAAAATATTAAGCTATATTTAAAATTTTAAGAATTATAAAATGGTTTAATACCTAAATCAATATTTAATTTCTTGTTTTGCATAAAAATAAATACACATATAATGCATTTGATCGTCGAAATAATGTAAGTAAAATTTAAATAAAAATAAATATAACTTTTATTAAACTATATAAAAATACTGAGCAAAAATTAATATCTCTGAGGCTTAATAGAAAACACAATATATAAAAAAAATCAGTTAATTCGATTTTAGAACTACTTATAGTATTATTGTGATTTGTTATTTTTAATTTGAAAACACACATATTTACATAATTATTTATGTAGAATCTAGGCATATATGATATATTATTACATAATAACACGCATGTATTACGTGTAATTATTTATTGTACACAACATTACAAACACATAATCTGTTTATAGTAGGTAGCGTACAATTGTCAACATTTTTTTTTTTATTACATATTCATAAAATATAATACATAACATAATTTTCATAATTTTGTATCTGTATCTATATAATATTATATTTAGTTTTTTTGTTCTTTTAATTAAAATATCGTTTATTAAAATTTACAATCTATACTATTTGTACAATAAGTAAATTTGAGGGAGGGATGACAGTGATGGAACGGTGAAAAGGGGAACTCACAGTAGAGCTGCCTATACATGAAACTTAAATTTTATGTTTAATAATAATTATTAATAAAGAAAAATAAATATTTAGTTAAATCAGTTCCAGGTTAGCGTAATGCTATTACATAATTACATCACACACTTATCATGGTGCGTTCAGACATTTTGCATTACCCAGTGGTGTATTTAGGAATGGGGAGGCTTCAGTGAATCGTTTCCCACGGGTCAGTCTCCTAATCCCAAGAACTTAAGTGTCGCACTGTGGTATTTGAAGGTTAGTAAGCACAAACAAAATTATTCAATTATCAAATGTTTAATACTAGAAAATCCGTTTTCAAAAATATTTATGATCGCTTAGTGTAGCACTATCATATGCTGCATAAAACCGTGGACACTCCGCTCTACCGCACTCAGACTTAAAAACTGTATAATAATACGAAACGAGTAATTGGAATCGATTTGGAAAATTAAGGTTATTCGTTTTCAAATTACACACACACACACACACACAAAACAAAATCGATATTGTTAAAACTTTTTGTAAAAATTTCACGTTTTGTTTTGTTATTCCCAAATCCCGATAATGAAAAAAAGTGCTGGGAATTTTAAATTTTAATCTCTTTTAAGAATAAACTAAATCCATAACCACTCTCTATATAAGTTGAAAATTTAAGCATTTAATCGATTATCTACTAATCGTGTAGGTATACAAACAAAACAAAACGTACATCATTGTAAAATCAATACATTTATCGCTACGCTTAAAATCTAAAATCTCGAAAAATATAACAAAAGATAAATCTGAGAAATCATTTTTGAATTTAAGTACATTTGTAGATACTTACATCAATAATTGATTTTAAGTTTAATTTTTAATTTTTGGAAATCGACAGAATCTATTGAAATTAAAAACAAAGTTATCGTAAAGTTACATATTTTCTTCAATACTATTTTGATGTAGGTAATTGGATATTTTTGAACAAAAATGACGAATTTTTAGTAACATTTTGTTTCTTATATTTTATTATTTAAAATATCTTTATTAATCGTTGAAACTTGAAACATTTCACTTTTACCAAGATTAAAATTTTCCATGTTAAAAAGCTTGAAAATGTAATAGCCAATAAGTATAAGGTATAAAGTGTAAGCGAGTATTTAAAAATATTAGAACGTATTTTTTTCATAAGCGTTTGAAGTTAAAATTTTTATCAAGTTCATAAAAATCTAAATATTTATAAATTACTTTGTTTGGTATTTTTTTAATAATATTTAAATGTTCATATTATATTTTGCTATAATTCATATAATTTTCATAGTAATGCCACTATATAAAAATGGTTAAATATTAATAAAGAAAAAAGGAATCGTTAAAATAAGGCGGAAGCGTGGCGGCTAGTGCTGTCGTTTAGGCAGTCGTGTATTCCCCCGGCCCGGTCGCACTGCGCCCGTTACGCTTTTCCACGATTTGTGATAACGGCACTCGTTGCAGTGTTTTTGATAAGACATGTCCATTTGTTTTTGTTTATGCGCAAACAACGTCTAACGAGTAAAAAAAAAAATAATACGATCTGCATTAAATTCGTCCGGTTGCCGACAATAATATTATTATTAGTTTGTCTTTTACGTATTTTCCTCGATTATTTTTTCGACGACTCACCGTACGGAAGTAATGAAGTTGTGTTTATAGTCTCGACCATGGCCAATCTTGAAGAAGATCTATCGCGTATGTCCATAGGTGAGTGTGATGAAATTGGTACCGCACTTAATCGTTCGAAAAATCGACATATCGTGGCCGGCGTGGAGGCCATATGCGTTTTAAGCTTTTGTGTAAACTATCATATATCACCAATACCGTTTAATAGGTGGTGACTGTTCTTATCCACTGTTGACATAATGTCCTCACCCTTTGAAGGCCGCGTGAAGTTGTTTTTTTTTCGGAAATATTATTGTTATTGTATGATTATTATTATTATTATTTTATTAATTCGGTAACAATTTAATAACGTTTTCAACTATCGCACCGTGATTGAATTTTAGTTTTTTTTTTTTAAATTTTAAAATGATTACAGTATAATTTTACATAATGGCATTTTATGTTGTTTTGATTTGTCCATGTTTTTTTCTGTGTGAATTACTGACTAGTTGAACTTTATAATTGTTCAGGCATTACAGTTTTAATGAGTCATATTTATTTTTGTAACCTAGGTGCTTGAGATCTCTAAATTTAACAAAATAAAGTAGTTAAGATTATATAATATATTACTAATAAGATTTTTAAGATTTCTGATAGTTTATTTTTGTATTATGAATAGTGAATGTTTTTTGGTTACTTAATTAATGTTTGTAAATTATTATTTTTATTTTTTAATAAATATTTATTTTATTGTTACAATTTTTAACTAATACATGTACTAAGTAAACAAGATTAATTTTGCATCTTGTTGTGTAATAGCCTGTCAATAAAATGATAATTAATCATTATTAGGCAAATTTTAGAAAAAATAGCTATAATCAGTAATTATTTAAATTTTTCTAATTAATTCATTACAATAATAAATATTAGGTATTAGTTGAAGTATAATTAAAAAAATGTCTATATTAATATTCATGAATGAATTTAATTAACATCTCTTATCATTTATCAGTAATTTCCTTTTGTCTATTAGATAATATATTTAATTATTTTTAAACTTAATAATTTATATAAAAATTATTGTTTTTATCATTTGCTTAAAAATAAGAAATTTGTTATCTTCTGAATTTTTTAAAAAGATGCATAATACAAATATCAGATGATAAATATACCTACTCTATTTTGTCATAATAAAATAATTAAATATTTACATAACAATATGCCTAATTGTTTGCTGGATTGTAAATAGTGTTTCAATATATTATTTAAATTGAATAAGATGTAAAAAAAAAAAAAATCCTTGGGAAAGTCACTCTTCAGTATAATAAGTTTTTGTGATGAGAATGTGTTAAATTTCAATTTAATGATAACTAAGTCGTTACTAACAAAAATGATTCTTAGCAGTGTCAACAATGCCAGACTGATATCTTCTTAGGGATATTTTATAATTTGTATACATTATTATAGTATTTAAATAAAAGTTAAATACATAATGGCAAAATATTATTTCTTGTTATGATTAATATTTTTTAATTAAAAAAAAAAAAATAACAAAAATACTAATTTTTTATTTAAATATCAAATTTTATAAAAATATATTCCAAAATATTTTGAAAATTATATCATGTCTTGTAAAATCTAATATTAGGAGAAAATTTTAGTTTTACTGTTATACTCCTTTGAATTAAAAAAAAAAAATGTTGTCAACTATAACAATTATCCATCAGAAATCAACTTCATAATTAAAGATTAAAATAATTGTCTATCATTTAAAACAGTAAAACATGGTAGTTAAAATTATAAAAAAAACAGATTACATATTGTAAAACAAATATTTCAAATTCTAAAAATAGTATAAAAAAAAAATTCATTTTGAACAATTAACATTTTATTTTTTTTAAATTTATGTATCTATTAATAAACAACAATTAAATGTTGTTAATTAGTAAATAATTTAAGCATATGTATTTTTTTAGCTTATATTTACTAAATATTGAATATTTTTAATTCAATTTTTTGTGGTCTTTAAAAATTTTTTAATAATTTAAAACATAATTTTCATTTATCAAAAACTAAATTTTTGTATAAAATAATAGGAATTACACTAGAAAGTGTTCCAATTATTCATAATATTTAGTAGAGTTTTCTTTTTTGATCTGTTTTACTATTTATTTATTTTTTTTGTATTTATAAACTTAACATCACACTGAAATAACATGTGAATTATACCCTCTAACTCGGTAACTTGGGACCCACTATATAAACTTCTTTGACCCTTTTTTGGAAGAAAATCTGAAGTTGGGAACTGCTAATTTGTGTGTTAAATTACCTATATTTTAATTTTTCTTAAATGATTTTATTAATATAGGTGATGATTCGAGCAATAAATTTGGAAGGAAAGATAAGTTCCCAAGGGAAGTGGAAATCTACAGGCCTGGGAGTGGACCATTAAGAAGAAGTGGTAATTCTCGTCAAGATGCTGAAGATGATGATAAACGATCTGGTTTTGATCGTGATCTTGAATCATCAAAAAAGAGTGATTTTATCCCTAATAAACATTTTGAAAATCCAAGTAGGAAAAAAGAAAATTTTCCAAGAGGTCAAAAAATGAATGGTGTTGCTGCGGATAATTACAGTACATTCAATTTAAAACGGAAACAGCAGAAGAAAACACAGCTATTCTATGAGCCACCAAATGAATGGAGTAGTGATAAACGATCAGATCGACCAAGAGTAAATTTTGTAAATCCTAACGATTCTAAAGGTGATGATGAGAATTGGCGAGCACATAAAACACCAAATGTAGTGAATGTTCCTAAAACGATTAAAAAAGTTGATGAAAAACCAGCTGTTTCAGAAAAAACCATAACTCCAATCGATATTATACCTACCATGGTTATTAATGCACGTGTTAATACTGTACAAAATAATGCAGATAAAACATCTGGGTTTGGTAACAAGAAACGAGAAGAAAAGAAAGTATCTAGTAAATCAATACCCAGCTCTCTTTTAATGAATTATGAAAAATTGCCTCCAAGATTGCGAAAAAAGTTTTGCGATGATTATCGTATTTCTATGGAAGAAGTAGAAACATTGTTAACGAATGGACTATCATCTCAAGATGAACATCATAAATCAAACAGTTCATATCAATCTAGAAGTCAGACTTTACCTCTAAGAAGTGGCAAGAGTCGATTCAATGAATCACATAGACATGAACAGGGATTTTATAGAACCAATTCTAATCAACCACCACCAAAGACTGAAATGAGAAGACAGCAATCCACAGTTATCAATAGTTCTACAGAATCAAGTAGACGAGGTGTTGATTTTGATTTACCTACCAAAGTTTATAACAGTCATCATGAATTAAAAACTGTTGATCATAATACTAGAGATGACCCTGAAAAAAATTGTTCTGTTAGTATAAAGCAGTCTATTGAAAGTGCAGTTTTACTCCCTAGTGGCACAATTGTAAGTTTTACCACAAACTATAGTTTTTACTTAATAATTTTGTTATGTTCAACATGTATAGAATTGGGCTGAAGAAGTGGAACGAGCTGAAAACATGTCTAAAGTTGCTGAAGATTCAAAGAAGGAAGTTCAGAGATTAGAAAATATTGAAAAAACTTTAAATTCTCCTAGAGATAGAAAACAGAGGAAGTAAGTGATAAATCAAATTTAATGGCTTGTGTGTAATTTTTAATTTAATAACCATACATTTTAATTAGGGGCGTCAGTAAAGATAGAAATTGTATGAATACATTACTTCAACGTGACCAACCATCTAGCAGTACTCATTCTAATTGGCATTCTCAAAGTAATGATAATTCTGAAAGCTTAAATAGTAATGGTGGAAGTTGGAGAAAAGAAAAATCTAAATCAAATAGAAATTGTAGTACTGACCGATCAAGGAATCGTTCACAAAATTGTAGAAACAGGTTAGCTTATTATACATTGTTTTTACTTTATGTATGTACATAACATTTTTTTATGATTATAGAAATAACAGTGAAAAATCAGTGCCACATAAATCTGAGAATGTTGGTGGTATTATAAAACTACCACCTAATGTGAATGTCAATGCTACTAATGTCTCTGATAATAAGTCACTTAGTCTTAATGGTTATTTAAACAAAACTGTTACAACCACAGCCTCACCATCTTCATATCCTGCAAAACAGTTATTTAATCCTAATAACCCTAATAAACCTATAGTGATATCTCCTAAACAACAAAATGCCAGATCAGGTTATCCACCAGCTAATATAGAACCACCTTATGCTAAAGAACATTTTTCAATGAATATTAACACAACAAATGCTCAACAATATTCAGGTGCTCATTATGGTAGTGCACCACCTGCTTGGTATGATCCATACACAGAAAGGTACAGCTATATTGAATAAATATATTAAAACAAATTTATCAACGTTTTTGATATTAAGGGAGGGTTATAAAATATTATATAATACATAAAAAAAAAAATAGTGTAAAATTTGAAAGTTTAAGTAATTTGAAATGGTTTTGAGGAAGAATGATTAAACCCTTAAACACTCTTCCACAAGTACAGTCGTTTAAATAATTTATAACTAAAATCAAGTGTATTAATAATGTGCTTAATAATTTTAAATTTTAGTTACCGTTCCTCAATTTATCCAGTTTTATTATTGGATATAAAAAAAGCTGATTCTATTATAGGAAATTTAGTTTTTGAACCAAATATGCTTCAAAATTGGCCAATAATTAATTCATGCAGGTTTGTATTAAATTTAAACTACGAATAAACATCTGTGCTCATGTTTTTTTTTTATTTTGATAAATATTATTTATATATTTTAAGGGAGTTTTTAAAAGATTCATTAAAAGAGCTTTTAAAATCAGACATGAAATTTTGCCAAAAAGAAAATATCGAAACACACTTTTGGAAAATACTTTACCACAATATTATTGAACATCTAAAAAAACTTATAAATGAAGATCCACCGGAATTAATAAAAGACTATACTGCATTACTAATGAATTTAATAGAAGAAGTATGATTTCTAGAAATGTATTTTATAAAGTTAATAGTTATTAAATACAATTATTAATACTTTAGGGTATGAAGTACATGAATGACCTATTAAAACTGTTGGAAAAACATTATAATTTTAATTTGGATGATTATGTATCTTTGACATGCCTGTCTACAAAAAAACTTGGAAATGTTGGTCTTGCTTTAATTTCTTCTCAAAAATTATACATATCGTTAGGAGATTTGGCAAGGTACAAAGATATTATGAATCATAGTACTAATTATGTTATTGCCAAACAGTAAGTATTGATTGAACTATTGTAAATTGTAACATTTGTTTTACAAGCTTAATTTGCAGATGGTATACTAAAGCCAATCAAATAAACCCTAAAAATGGTCGGCCCTACAACCAGTTAGCGCTACTAGCTGTATATGAAAAACGAAAACTTGATGCTGTTTATTATTACATGAGAAGTTTGATGGCTTCAAATCCCTTTCAGTCAGCAAAAGATAGCTTATTATCTTTGTTTGAAGAATATAGAAGAAAGGTAAGATAATGTTAAATGAGTTTATTTTTACATCAGCTTAAAACTTAATTTTTCAGTATGAAATGACTGATAGAAAACGTCTAGAAGATAGAGAAAGACGTGAACGTGAAAAAGCTAAAGAAAAAGAGAGCTCTATGTCATCTAAAGAAAAATACAGTAAAAGAAGGAAAGAAATATGGATACATCCAGATGGTAGTAAACGTTCTCAAAGAACAACATCATCCACTGAACCAACTCAAGACATTGATGAGGAGGAACTGTCAAAACTGTCTCAGTCAGAGGTAAATATTGCATTATATCTTAAAATTAATTTTTAGTATCTATTATGTTAATAGAATTGTTTAAATATATAATTGTGTTGTCAATATATCATATTCAACTTTGAAAATTGTATTGAATTATTATTTTTATTACAGGTTAATAAAAGATTTATCGTTAGTTTTCTACATGTTCATGGAAAACTGTTTACTAAAGTTGGGTAAGTTCCATTTAATTAATTTATAATTCATAGCATTAATATATTTGAATCATTTTCAACATAATATTTATCATGTATTTGGTACAAAACTACAAAATTGTTAATCATTTTTAACTTAGCATCTCATTTACTTATTAATTTTTAAATACTCGAAATACTTTTTATTCACACTAATTTGGTATTCAATACTAACTTATTAAAGTAATAACTATTTGGTTAATAAAAAATAGACTTAAAATTATCAATATAGTAAAATGTACTAATTACCTTCCATTTATTGAGAGATTATGATTGTGCACAAACCAAAATTAGTCGTTCCATACCACAGCTTAATGTATTATAATTGATTGACGAATTAGGAATGAGAATAGAATGAAACGGGTAAAAGATAAGAGAGCAACCTCTCAGTCTTATGTACAAAATGGTCATATTCTTTCAGAGAGTTGAACTTAGTATTAGAAGATCCTATTCCATCTATAAAAGTGAATTTGATGGATTGACTTTTTCTTTACATACAATATAAAAAATTTATTTTTGCCTTAATGCATACTTAAAACAATAAAATTGTCTGTTACTATTAAGATATATTGTGAAGTTTTGTTATTTTTTTACATGTAAATTATCATTATAAAAGCTATACTATTTTATTTTTAGTATGGAGACTTTTCAAGATACTGCTTTACAAATGTTAAGAGAATTTCGTAAATTATTGTCAAATACACCAATACCAATCATAACAACAAGGTTTTTGCAGTATTTGGCATTGAACATGTTTTCGATTGAATACAGCCGTCCAAAAGGTAAACAAAATCAATTTCATTAAAATAGTGCAATAATATACAAATAATCAAATATTTATGTTTATTTTTTAAATTTGTTTACTATAGAAACACATGTAGAACAAGGATATTGGTCAACAGTTCATGAGTGTGCATTGGCTATGTCACTGCAAATGTTTAGCTTGATTGTTGACAGATGCAATCAACTTCTGAAAGAGATCTTGAATAAAGATGATGGGTCTACAGCTAAACATTTGATTGGTAGTGACATAGACTTTCTATTACCACCCATAAAGGTATTATAAAGATTTGTGAAAATTAAAATTAAGGAAATTACATTTTTTTTTTCTTTCAAGGTTTGGTGTGATTGGCTTTTATGTAATTCTAAAGTATGGAATCCACCTCCATCGTGTTCAGATTATAAACTCTCGTAAGTTTTTTTTTAAATTGGAAATATATATGCTACAATCAATGTAGAGTAGTTGCAAAGTAGAATTAAAAGTTATATTTTTCATTATAAATTTTATTCAGTTAAAAATTAGTATTTTGGCCATATCTGTACAATTTATATTATGAATATTTTTTGAATATAACTAAAATTTTTGCAATCTCATTTCAATATTGTTAATACTATGCTCTGATATAGCTTATTTATCTATTAGCGTCAATTTTAGTTTGGGTAGTTAACATTTTTTGAATAATGTAATATAATAAAATTATGTACAATGCTAAATTTTATTGGTTAATTTGAAAATTCAACATTGGGGAATTGTATAGTCACAAAATCTGTATTGAGTAATGAAACTACCAGAGAAATAAAATATATAAAACAAATATTTTTTTAATAATTATAACAAGAACAACTTTTAAAGAAACAAATTATGTTTTGAAATATTTTGTATGAATACATCCACACATAACATTATAACAATAAAATTAAAATTTTAAAAAATTTACTTATTCTTTTAGTTTTTTGTATGATACAGTTTTAACACAGTTTTTGGTCAAATTATTTAAATTGAGTATTATTTTTTATTATGAAATTCAGAATATAGTCTAGATATTAAATTACACATGGTAGGTCATAGTAAAATCTACTTGATTTGGTATGCATTGTACACATTGACCAAGTGTTGTTGTTGGTCAGTGGTCTACAATGACTACCCTTCTTATTAACTAAAAATTACATTTTGTGTTATTTTTTTTTTTTTTTTGTACTCAAAATATTTTTTTCAGTGGGACTGGAGACTGTTGGTGTCGATTAGCTTCTTTGGTTAACAATTTGGAAAAATTCCAAGAGCACTTTAAATTAGTTTTGAACGAACCTGAGGAAAGTGATCCAAGTAAGAAAAAGAAATATAATTTTTTTGTTTGAATTTATTTAAATTAGGCATGGTTTATTCATTATAGATTTAAAACAACAACTTAAACTACCAGAGGATTCAATGTTTAGTGGGTTTACACCAATAATTGGTTATGAGTTAAAACCTGTTTTTATAACAACTACTTCAGATAGAGTGAGTGTTGCTAAATAATACATATCATTATTTATATATCTATTAATGAATAAATAATGTATTTAGGATCTGTCTGAGCTCACCCATAGAGTAAATTGTATATTGTTCTTTGGCACTGAATTTTTGTGTGGTACTGAACCACCTGTATTTAAACTACATAAAACCGACACTGGAGCAAGTGAATATATTTCAGTTGTTGAAACAGCTAGCCCCAAAGATGATGTAATTATTATTTAGATATGTTTATAAATGTATTTATATCATCCAGTGTTTAATAATGATAATATTTTTTATAATAGAGTGAAGATGAGGAAATGTGTTTTGAAAGTTGGATTGATGAAGAAAATGATTTAAAATCAAAACCATCTGAAGAAAAATCTTTTTCTGAATTACAAGCTAAACCAATCTCAAATGAAATACAGAAGCTTTTATGTAGAAAAGAAGAATTGGAACAAAAACAACGAAACGAAGAACTGAGACAAAAGCGTGTACAAGTATGAAAATTATTGAATTTTACTTATCTCTAAAAATATAAATTTATATTACTAGTTGTTAACTGATAATAAATTTTTTTTTTAGGAAATATTGAAACAAGCATCGTATTGTGTTGAAATTGAAATCAAACCACATTTTGTGGTTCCAGATACCAACTGTTTTATTGACTATTTGCCGCAACTAGAAAAATTAATATATTCTTTATCACACGCACAAGAACATAATTGCACTCTAATGATTCCTACTGTTGGTAAGTTAAATATTTATAATTAAAATTTTTATCATACATATATTACTTTAATCAGTAAAAAACATTGAAAAACCTGACTTGTTCCAAATTATCAAAAAAAATTTAAATGATATATTCTATACTAATAAGAGTTATCTTGATTTCTACAATTTCCACAACTATTTTAGTGGTAGACAAGTTGCAATTTTATTGAAATATGTTACTTTACATTTGAAGTATCTAAAATTGCAACAAAACGTCATAATTTTTTGTTTTTTTTTGTACAAGTCAAGTTTCTTAAAGCTTGATTCAATTGAATTATAAATAAGTTTAAACATTATTTTATTTTTTATATTAGTACTAATTGAATTAGAGGGATTAGCCAAAGGTGGATGGGTCAGAGATTCAGTGTGTGATGCTGCTAAACAAGCATTAAAAATATTAAAAAATATAGATTCAGCTGCAGTTAAATTTGTGACAACCAAAGGGTCAAGTTTTAAATCTACTACATGTTTTGAAGAAGAAAACAATTTTGTATGCTTTGTTGGTCTAGTATAATATTATAATTTTCAAATTCTCGTTTTAATTGTTGTTTATTATTTAGGTGGGAAATAATGATGATAAAATATTGGCAACTTGTTTAAGTCTATGTAAAAACAATTCTCAACAACTTGTAGATAATCCACCAGTAGAAGGTAAATTTGCTAATATATCATAGTACATAAATTGTATTTTATTTATTTTTGACTTTTTGCAGGAGAACCTAAAAAAATATTTAGAGATGTTGTGCTACTGACAGAGGATCGCAATTTAAGAGTTAAAGCTCTCTCATCAGATATGCCTGTAAGGGCAGTAATGGATTTCATAAACTGGTTGAACTTCGTTAGTAGTTGATCCATTCGGTTGCAATGGTAGGAATGCTATATTGTTCCTAATTACAAAGACTTCTAGTGACATTTTTAAATACCACTGTTTATGGTATGTATTTATTAAAGAATATTTTTAGTAATATGATGTAGATTCAGTTAGTAATACTTTAATGACTAAAAGTTATTTAATATTATTTAAGTATCCACCTAAAATGAGTAACTTATTTAGTGTTCATGATAAAATCTTTAGTATTATTTTTATGAATATAACCAACAAATTATTTTAACTTTCAACCACTATCAACATATAATGAGTTTGTGATGTTTAATACTGAAATTGTTGTTCTTAACATTGAAACACGATCCAAGTTGTGACACTTATAGACTAACACAATTTTTTCGTTTTATAATGTTACTGGTTTTGAGAAGTATGGAAAATATATTTTAAAAGATAATTTAATATTATGTCACACATTTTTAAAATTTTGTAAAAAATTTTACAAATTTTAATGATCATTTAATGTGTTTGATATTCTTGTTCTATAATAAAAGAGAAATAGATTTTCACATATATTAAGTGATGAAATTTTATTATTATCAGTCCTAAATCAAACATTTTTAAAGTAGACGTTTTCTGTGTTTATATAATATTATGGCATGTATATTTTTATCTGCTCTATTCAACACTAATACACTCTTAATTACAACTGTCTATATTGGAATCGAGGTTTTCGTTCTTTAAACTAGATCTTATGCTTTTTTAATGATATCATTAAGGCGATTCCTTCGTAAATTTTTTAGCCATCGTTAAAAACTATAGATAATATATACTATAATTAAAGCTTACAAATTATGATTATTATTTTATGCAAATTATCTGAGTTATTTCATATTTTGTGATTTCTGTGATCGTATTTTGTTGACGTTTCCCGTATACACTTCAGTAAAGTTATATGTACCAAAAGTTACTGTAGTTAAATTAGTAAATATAGTAACTAATTCATTAGCCTCTGTTGGTAACTTACTGGTTTGTTACTAGAATTTTATAAATCGAAATCTTTAGAAAAATATTCTGAGCATAAAGTTTAAAAAAGTTATTCGTGTATAATATTGTATGAAAAAAAAAGTGTTTTCAAAAACATAAATTTACAGAAAATTTGACTGATTCTTTACAATAGAAACAACCTATATTATACTAAATTTTAACCCAATATGTACTTTAGTCTCTTCTGACAATAATACAACATAACAAGAATTTTGATTGACATTATATTGTATGTGTACTTATTTTCACATATTCATTGTTATAAACGTTGTAGACGGGGTTATGTATAAAACACATCGATAGACATAATTTTATATATCTTAATAATGTCCGATGCACGTTTATGTACCCTGACATGGCTGAATAATAATATATATTTATTATATCGTTATATGTTTCATTATAATTATATGATAATCTGTTTAATCGTATCAACAATGAAAATTATTGATTTGACATCATCCGAACTCGTAACAATTATTTTAATTTAATTTTCCCGACATTTAAGTTGTTTTGGATGTTTCGTCGGCGCGCATTATAATCGTATCATAAAAATAGTATGCATTGTATATTATATAATATGTAGGTATGCGTTCTATTAAGACAGTTTTTAATATTTATTTTATCGATTTTCAATAATCAGGATATCGCAAATTCTTATATTAATATTATAATATATGATGCAATTGAGGTTTAGGGGTTTTTTTTATATTTCTGTAAACACCGATTCTGGACCAAAACTTGTTTGTTTCCTAGATTGTTAATATTCTGTAATTTATTTATTTTTTTAGGTTATTTAATTGACGCATATTCCCATTTTTAAATTTATTTCTTTTATGATTAAGTTATTACTATACTCTATATATGCATATATTTATATACATCATACAGTGTTACATAAATAGGTCAAGATGTGATTTATATTTATAGAATGTAAAAAATATGGATTGAGGTTCTTTTTTTCATTTGTCGTAAGTAAGTTCTACTTACTAAGTAGTAAGTATTAGTATAAGATAAGTCAATTGCGGACAATGATTAAATTACGTAATCTTAATTCCGAAATGAGTAAAAAAATATCTAACACATCAGTGTCCTTATAAAATCTATTATATTAAACGTCATTGTTTCCGATTAAATACCAAAAAAATATCTATACGCAGTCAACCGATTTGTAACCAGACAGTGATCGACGTCGACGAACTGTAATTAAGCACTATAACAATTATTATTATTATTAACTTTATAATTTATATTTGTATGTATTATAATATAGTAATATTTAATGAAGTGTCGATGTATATTCGATTTTAAATGTCTACAATGCTACATCGTATATATATATTGTAATAACGACGTTTTTGTTTTTCATTTTTCAGGTACCTACTTAACCTTTGTGTCCTTCTATTTCGGCACTTATTTTAAATGTTAACCATTTATAAATACATAAAACAATACACAGTCTGACCAACGCTTTTAATTTTTAATTTTTCGACTTAGCGGTGATCAATCTTATATATTTTTTTTTATATATCACTGTAAATCGTCGTTGTGTACATAATATACAGAATAAAGAGAATTCAAAAGGAGGAGAAGGAGGAGGAGGATGAGGACCTCGCAAAAGGAAACCATTAGAATATCAAAACATATTACTTACGCGAAATTGAATTTGGGATATTGTCAAGAGGATAAAATTATACATATATTATACATCAGATAACACGCCCCGAAATACTGCTGCAGACCAAACGTTTATTTTGGCATTAAATATAACATTCTTTTAATATATTATTAAAGGTGTGTGCTAGTCGTTCGATTTCGTGATCGTCGGCACTAATAGATTTATTTTCCTTTTTGTTTCTATTTTTTTTTTTGTTTTTTTTTTTTTTTTTTTAGCGATTATCATTATTATTTGTATTTTATTGTTATTTGTAGTACCTAACTGTACGCTACTATCTATTATTTAGCTGTCGATAAATTCGTATGCATTCGGTTCACTTTTAATATATTATTATAATATGAATGTATGTATCATACATAGCATCATAATATTTATTATTACTTCCTTCCGTCAATCAACCGTGTATAGATGCTTCCCTCTATACTACGATAACTTGGTCGGGGGTAGAGTATAATATTATTATTATTATTATTATGTGTATATACTGTATAGCGTACTGCGTACATTTATAACTGCATTTTTCGGTATATTTGTTTTGCATTCAGCCCCTTGAGCCTTTTTTCAACTTATCCTTATAATGCACGTGTGTACCGGAACCACGATGTCGTCAAGAGTTGAAAGATTTTTCCGAACCGCGATTGGACGATTCCCTCGTCCGTCGCTACCACCGCTGCTCATTAATTTCGTCAGGTCAGGTATCCAAAAAAAAAAAAAATATCAAAAAACGCCAATTTATTTTTTGACGGTAGAGGTCCAATCTCGATCGTCAGACAACCGTGTACATATATTAATCGATGTATATCTATTATTATCTGTAATAGTGTATATGTGCGTTTATGTATTATATGCCTAATTCATGTGTATAGTGTATACTGATCATCTTTATATTTTATATAGACATATCGCTCATTCTTCGCACCATCGAAATGCGAACAATCGTCGCGTTCTCATGACGTTTGCAATGTCTATCGGTTGCTCGACGATACTGTATAATATTCATGCTGAGAGATGTTGGTCAAATGTCGTCCGAACGGATTTTAGAGATCAACCGACGATATTCGCCATACCATTGTTTATCTACTTTTCTTTTATCGTGTACTATTTCGTCATCGCTGCCACACTCCAATCTCCCCTCCCTCATAATCGCGGGTTAGAAAATACACGTGCATTTTATGAAAGGTAAAAGAAATGAAAATAATGTTTATATCTTATTTTTTAATTTGTTTTTAGACGTCTGACGGTTTTACTATTTTCATTATTAAAATATTATTTTTTTTTTTACTTTCGTCTCCTCGTAAATATTATTATAAATATGTATGGTAATATTACGCGTGTATCATATGTGCCCCTTTTGAAATGTACAATTTTAAACATGATATTTATTTTTTAAGTTTTATCTAGTTATTAATTGCCTAATATTGTTTTCTTATCGAAAATATTCATCTAGTGATATATAGATATAGTTGTAAAAAATAAAACAATGTATTAAATTGAAAAAAGAACTGAATATTGTAATAACAATTCATGTAATGTTACATAATATTATAGTTTATACGACGAGGAGCCCGCCGATTGGTTGAAACCGTACCACACCACAGTAACTATAATTCTAATAAGTGATTCTGCTTACTGATAATATCATTATTATTTTATAAAATATCAAATGAGAGCAATAATGTATGTTGGTTTTTAACATTATATTATTATGTATACTTATAAATACCTATAATACATAATTCATATTATATTAAGTTGTATGATATTGATAGATAAAAACTCTTAAATTATATGTAGTATGTAATATGTATATTATAATACATGTGTATATTTATAAAAACTGATTGCTATGTTAATATTATTTTTTTCACCTTAAACCACTTAATCCCGTCATTCTACACAGTATATTACCTTTATACTTTATATATAGCCATATCAGGTAAAAGCTGTACGAGTTACACCTACGATGACAATAACAGGTTTGGTTTGAAATAAGGCACATGGTGACAATTTTTTTCTTCAAAAAATTAAAATTTTATATTTCGTTCTTCAAAATGATTGGTTTTTCCTCATAAAACTGTTCAATTTCAAAACTTGTTAAATGCTCGACAAACTACGAAGAATTAATATTCCAATTATTGGTACATACAAATATACAATTTGTTATATACTCCTGCAGGCTGCAGTAAGATTTAGCAAAATTGACTGAACTGCGACAGTTTTGATCAGACGCGCGTTGTATGGCGGACTTGAGTCTTGAACGATCGCTCGCACGTTTTGTACTCAAATATTCTATACGTTAACGTCAGATGTTATCTCATTAGACATTTGTAATATTTGTTTATATTATGTATCTAAGTGTTGTAGGCACATGGATACTGATGTCTGATGTGATTTAATAGTGCGCTGCAGAAATATCGTATACCTACCGATGAATCGTTATAGTATTGTCCGTTAATCGCTGTGTTACTGAATAGGTATGTATATTACCTTTACCTACGTAAATTATAATCGTTAATAAATATAACGTCATTACTTGTATAGATTACATGCCAATATGCCATAGGAAGTTGCCGTTTGTTCCCTACAATTAGTAGAGACAAACTTAATCGTTTTGTCATGTTTTAAGCTCTTTAATTTAATATTCTTATTACAAGACGTTTATTTATCTTTTTAAAGCATCATGCTTGAGCATCAATATTATTTATCCGTATACATGTATGTGTTAATAATTAGTCATTAAAATATTTGAGTTGTATTGTAGGTGCCTACCGACGGGTATACTATATATATATATCATTACACCCATGATAGCATTAAACAAATATCTTCTTTTTTTTTTTTTTATTGATCGCAAAGAATAACATCGACAACAAAGGCCATTAGTTACAAATAAGCTTATAATTCTTTATTATATCTTTTATTTGACATACAAGTATCAAAATATTAATATTATACGGGAAACGATTACTTTTCTTAGTGCCTGAATGTTACATACTAGATATAATGTGATCCCTCCACCTCTCTCCATCCTTCATCCGTAGCATGTTCAGTTATGGCCGACGCTCGGAAAATTTGCCGGAAATAATAAGTACAATTTTTTAAACTAGTGTAATCCTTGATATTTAATATTACATATATTATACGTTAAATTAAATTTAAATTATTAGAATAGAGATGGTTAAGATATATCTGATTTATCGAAAATTCTACTTTTTTTTAACGTATAGAACCCCTAATTTACTCACTTTTTCATTGCTAAAATTACTTTATCACGCGTTTCTTTACGTCTGAAAATTCGGGGCTATCTAACCTTTGCGATCATTTGAAAAATTCAAAAAATTCTTAACCAGTTTACAGTAAAAATAGGTAGGTAGGTACCTATAGCTATATAATACGTTTACTTGCAGGTATCTCAAATTCTTCAGTGATGTTACTTTTCTACTGTTCACTGCTTTGAACTACCTAACCTTTGTTGTTTTTAAGCAATTTTTTAATTAAAGGCGTTGTTATCGATATATTTTTAACAACTGTATTGTTAACGCTTGCATTCACTAGTTTTTACTGGTGATATTTTCGTAAACAACCGAATCTATTTGTCAGTCAGTGTGACAATAATGAACCTAATGAATCGAAATAAAGATGATTAACTTATTATTAGTGATAAAATAATTGGGTCACCGTCCAACAGAAACAACAATACATTTAGTGCGACCGAAACTTACACACATCATTACCTATATTTGGAACAGACCAAAAGGTAAAGCCTTATAGGCGTTGAAAAAGTTTAAGTGATCAATAATTCTTCTTTAAATCCATTTTAATCTTTGTAACGCATTAAACTCTTTGTTTTGGTTTAATAATAAAATAATAATATAAAACGGAAATCAAGTATGAAAATATTATATCGGTATGCCGATGGCATGTGCACTGGCCGTCAAAACATTCTCTCGGTTGATGATTGATCGATATGGTCTGTGTCTTGGTCGTAACAGCGTGAATTCGTGTAGAAAATCTTAGTTTTTCGTAAAGTTATGATTAATATGTTAAAACTCGAAAGACACATTATTATTGCTGTAAACAATTTTTGTTAGTCAAAATAATTTTTTGCACTTAAAAAAAAAAAAAAAACGAATAATTAAATGATTTTCAACATTCCCTGATCTAATTCGGCTGAGAACCATTGCAGAGACTTTAAAATACCGTTCGGCGTTACTCATCTGCTCAAGTAATACGTGTTTTGTGATGTACACGCGTCGAGTATTATTATTATTTTATGTGTAATGTGTATGTCTATGATTTATAATAATGATGTCGCTGTTGTTACCTATATACGTACACGATGGCATGCTGCAGCTAAATAATATATTATATGTATATTATGTACGTATATAATTTGTATCGTACGAGGATCGGAAGACCGTTAGAAAAATGTGCATTTTTCATTTCGACGGAAACGTTTCAATGCGGTTTTGCGGTAGATACGAGAACGTGGATTATCATTACGCGTTGGATATTTTGTTTTCGATAATAGAACGTAATTTTTTTCCGTAATGTATTAATGTATAATAATATTACTTACTATAGAGGTAGGTACATATCATAAAGGTATGTACTAGCCATCTTTGAAAACGCCATACGCTGGCAAATAAAATGATTGTATTATCATTATATTATGTATAAGTAATAAGTATCTTAATATATTTATCTAATTATAATATTATTAAGTCACTTTTTGAAAGTAGGATTGTCGATATTAATGAATTATATGTGTTAATATTTAGATCATAGAAAGTTGATGTATAATCCGAAATAAAATTAAAAACAATTTTTTTTCATTCTTTGTTAAAAAAAGAGATATTACCGGTAAAATATTGTTTGAGTTTTAATTTAAATGTCTTCACTACAATGTTGCAAAATAAATAAAACGTTGGTAATTAAAATTGATAAAAGATAAAATAAAAATTGGGATTTTCAATATCAGTGATTATTTCCGCCTGGTGATGCGGTGAACGTTCTTATTATGGAAAAGGACTCGATTTGACAAATTTTGAAGTCAAGTTTGAGACAAAAAAATATTGTTTTATACAACTTGTTTGAACCTGCACTTTTTTCCATATTAGTGAATTGTTTTTGGCAGGGTTAAAATTTGAAATTTACTCCTTATTTTCATCAATATATCATAATGGGGAGAGATAGACAACTAAATTTATAGATGTGATATATCACTATATTACTTATTCTGTAATCAGATTCAACGGTATATTATGCAAGAAGATTGTTTAGCGTGATCGAAATATTTCCGTCATATAGATAATAAGTTCCTAACATCTACTAGTACCTAACCGGAGTATTTAGGCTTAAGGGTGAAGTGCATCTTTGTCTTTGACGGCCATGTCTTAATTGCGCTTACACGACGCACTACACGCGTGTCAAACGAATTATTTTCTGCGTTATTTTTTTTTTTGTGTGAATTTCGATGACAACGTGCCGTACAATAAATATATGTATTATGTATATAATATACATGTAATTCAACTCGTGCGTGGACGTAATTGGCGGCGGGTTGGGATTACGATGCGTAGTTTACTTTTCCTCGATTTTTCCCGGTTTATTTTCCTCTCTCTGACCACTTCATCGTATATATGTGCGTGCTGATGTCAGATTATCGACGGTTTAAAATAATTTTATAATGCGTACACACATAATAATATATAACATACACGTGGCGGTTACAACAAAAGAACTATGAGAGAACAAGGAAAATATTTTGAATTAACTTATGTTTTTATTTTTTTATTTTTTTACGTTTATTGCTAAGAAAAGTTCAACGACACACGCCTCGAACTCGTTGAAACCGTAGAAAATTACAACTCAACTGCAGAATCATCAGTGACCTGTTGTAGATCTACGAGTTTATACAACGATGAGGGATGACGGCGGCCGATCAATTTATTAAAATAAGTAAGAACCGTATTTTAATATAAACCGTTATTCTTTTTTTTTTTTTTTATTCTTTCTAATCTGATCAAATACAATAAATAAAATTAATTTGAATCAAAAGTTGAATATCTATTTTTTTCTCAGAATAGTTTTCTATTTCCATTATAATTAAATAGATAATGGTATTAATTTATTTTTCAATTAAAATATATCATAAGTGTTTAAAAAATATTTTACTATTTTCTTGTATTTTTGAGATTACATTTTTGTACGATATTAAAACTTTTAAGCTGTTATATTAAATAAAAATAATTTCATCGTCATATTATTTTGAGATTATTATTAATAGAGGTGAGTTATCTTTAAAGAAAAGCAAAATTAATAAATTAATAAATAAAGATAAATATAAATGTAATATAATAAAAGAATTAAAAGACTATTAATTCTGATTATCATAATTTTGCTCTCTAACTGTGGAATACGTTTGAATGTTCAAATGTTGTGTGCTGTTAGTAAATTCATTTCGACGGACGACGGCTATATAATTCTCAATAAATGTTTCGATTGGATTTAGAGGTCATTCTGCCTTTGTTGGCCGTTTGTTTGATTTTAACTCGATCGTCATATCACTTATTTTATGATATGCTTAATCCGGTCGAATAATAATAGCCAATATAAACGTAAAATATATATACGTAATATATTTTATTGAACGTTTGAAAATAAATATATTAACCGCACATGTTGATATTTTAAAAAACTTTCAGTTCTAAAAAAACGTTTAAATTCCAAAGACCTAAGATCAGGTATAAATGCTCAAAACAGCACTGTTAAAAGTTACACACAAGAGTTATGACCGTCGTGAAAAAGTTATCTTAGCAGCAGATTTATTGTAACGAAA